TCTCTCTCCCTCTCTCTATCTTACCCTTTGTCCCTCTTCCACCACTTGGCATATAACTAACTCCTCGTCACTCACTCGTTACCTTGCCAGGGAACGAACGGTGAAAGAAATCAGTCCTCACTTGCTGGAAAAGAAGGGCAAGGAAGGGATGTCGGTCCCTTGTGCCACCAAGAAGCAAAAAAGAGGACACTTGGAAAGATTGAAAGGAAGCAAAATCTGAAAGAAAGTGTAACTTGCGATGAGGTCAGTTTGACTCAACCATTTCCTCGACTGCATGACTACGAGAAGAGGATGGACCGATTGAGCAAAGGAAGGAGAACAAAGAAAGGAGAACGAAAAAGGAAAGTTAGGCATGCGGGAAGGGCTATGTGTTGACCCCAACGGAGGATTGTATCGGTCTTTGCGTTTGCGTGGGATTGTGCAGGTAAGTAAAAACTTGGGACGCTTTGAACGGGGCAGGGCCGGGAGAGACCGGGCGGCCAAGGAAAAGGAAAGAGGGGGCAAAGGGGCTACGGGGCCCCTAGTGTAAAACCAACCTATGAGATTGACCTTTGTACATGGGACTGGGAGTGTGAATGAAAGGAAAGGAGTGTGACTTTTGCTGATTCGAATGTGATTTAGCCTTGAAATCCATTGATTGTCGTCGGGATCACATGCTTTGAAGGTAACTTTGTACTGTCGACACTTGCTGTCGTACTTGCGATCCGTGATGACGCGGTCAACTTCCTGATGGCCATCCATAGATGAAGGATCTTGCGATTGTCGGCCCGAGAAGTCGTCGCTCTTAGCTGGTGTATATGTTGTCAGCTTCGAGGTGTGAAAGACTGGATGGACCGTTAGATGCGCGGGGATGTTGATCACAAATGAGGGGCCATCGGGCTCATCGCCCGCGGCTGATGTTACGAGCCATGGTCCAAACCACTTGGGGAGTAGTTTGTGCGAAACATCCTGGTCGAGGGCAAACTCTTCCGCGGAGACCCAAACCAGATCACCGGTGCGGATGGGACATGGCACGCGACGCCTGCTGGCTTGGTGCTGCACGCGAACTTGAGCCTTTTGCAAGTTCGCGCGAGCTTGAGCCAACAATTCTCTGTACTTCCGGACGGAAGCAGGGGAGCAAGCAACGTTTATGTCGGCTGTTCGTGGGAGGAAAAGATCAGCGAAGATACGGCCTTTCCGACCACTGTGGTGCAACACGAATGGAGTCACGCCGATCGCCGGATGCAACGAAGTGTTGTAGGCGAACTCGATGTTGTGGAGGCGGTCAAACCAATCCTTCTGATCCGCGCAGATGAGCGTACGAAGCATCATTTGAGCGGTTTGATGTGCCCGCTCCGTTTGCCCGTTCGTTTGTGGATGTCGAGCCGATCTTGGTTTCATCTTCGTGCCGGATTCCTGCATGAGAGAAGTCCAAAATGCCGACATGAAGCGAGTGTCGCGGTCGCTGACGATGTCTTCCGGTACGTCGTGGCTGCAAATCTAGTCGGTGTGCAACAGGCACGCAAGTTCTGGAGCCGTGGCGTAGTACTTGCAAGGGAGAAACTGCGTGTACTTACTCAAACGGTCAACGACGGTGAGGATGCCATCGTGCCCGAGGCGATCGCGGGGAAACGGTCCGGTGACGTCCATGGCAATGGAGAGGCCGGGTTCCCGTGGGATAGGCATCGGGTGCAACTCGCCATACGAATTGCAGTTGCGGGGCTTGCTTCGTCGGCAAACTTCACAAGAGTCGCAATACCGACTGACATTGGAAATAAGGTCGGGCCATCAGAATCGTTGTCGAAGTCGTGCAATAGTGCGATTGACTACGAAATGGCCGGCGAGTCACGAGTCATGGTACTCGCCGAGAAGGCGAGTCCGAAGACGACGGTCTCGTGGGACACACAAGAATAAGTCCTTGCCTCGCGAGTGGAGGAGCAAGTACCTGTCAACGATGGGATAGTGGCTGGCCGACGGGTGATCCGAAGATAGCTGCGCATACAACGTGGTGAAATCCGGATCGGACTCATAACCCCGGATGAAGTGTCTAACACAAAGGCGTGATGTGTCATAGCACAAAGATTGGGTCTTCGTGAGAGTGCATCTGCTGCACGATTGGAGAGGCCGACGAGATGTTTTGGTGTGACGTCAAATTGGTCGATGAAGTACATCCATCGTCCGATCGTGCTGCTCATTGTATCCTGTCTTGTAGTAGGTCAACGGGTTGTTTTCCGTGACCCATGTGAGCCTACGACGCCCAAGGAGGAAGTGCCGCCATCGCTTGAGAGCCATCACGAACGCGAGCAGCTCCTTTTTTCTTGCATCATCAAGTGAATTGATGGGACGGTGGCTGAAATACTCCACGGGGTGCCAGTCGTCGCCGTCGTGTTGTTCCAAGACTGCTTCAATGCCATAGCCAGAAGCGTCAGTTGTCACTCTCGTTGGCAAGGTGGGGTCGTAGATGCTAAGGACGGGTGCCATGAGCATGGTCGTCTTGAGTGCTTGGAATGACCATCGTGTATCGTCATCGAATACGAATGGCACCTTTGGCGATTGTAATCTCGTCATAGGTGCGGCAATCCTTGAGTACCCGGAGATGAAGCGTTGATAGTAGCTCGCCAACCCCATGAATGAGCGAACATCCGTGGTGTTGGTGGGATCTGGCCATAGCGGATGGCCTCGATCTTGTCCGCAAGCGGACGGATGCCTTGCGGCATTACATAATGTCTTGACTACTCCAGCTCTTGCCACGCAAATTCGCATTTGTCGCGGTTGGCTTTGTACTTGGCTTTTCGTAGCCGCTCCAAAATGGTGCGCAGGTGCTCCACATGCTCGTCCAAACTCCGGTTGTACACCAAGATGTCGTCGAGGTAGATGCGTACGAATCTATCCATCATGTGTCGGAACTCCGTTCTCATAGCCGCTTGGAATGTGGCCGGGGGCATTCGTAAGGCCAAAAGGCATAACCAGCTATACCGTGTCTTAAACGTGGTCTTGTAGCGGTCCTCCTGCCGGATATCGAGTTGGTGATATCCTGATTTGAGCTCAAGCTTGGAGAAGAACTTGGCGCCTCCCAAACATTCGAGGAGGTCATCGATGCGTGGGAGAGGGTCGGCGTTCTTGACGGCTTGCGCGTTGAGCTTGCGATAATCGATGCACAACCTCGAAAAGGTCGTCGAGTTGCGAGAACGACCGGACAAAGAGAACGAGAGCGCCGTATGGCGAGGAGCTAGGCCGTATGGCGAGGAGCTAGGCCGAATCCAGCCTTTCTCGAAAAGGTCGTCGAGTTGTGCCTGTAGCACACTTAACTTTTCCTCGCTCATGCGGTAGATGCAACCACGCGGAGGTACGGCCCCGGCCTCGAGGATGATCTCGTGGCGAATGGGTCGATCCGATACTACTCCGCGCGGGGCTTCGAACACGTCGCCGTAGGCGTTGAGAAGCTCGGTGATGCGTGGATCCGTCGATGCATCCGTCGATGAGATGTCCTGGGGAGGGAGGGCGTGGAGAAAACACACACCAATCTCCTCAATATCGTCCCGGGTGATGGAATGCTTGCGGCAGATACCACGCGAAAGTTGATCGAAGGATGAGGTGGAGGCACCGTGCACGGGACTAGTACTCCATTCCGATCACGAAAGTGAACGGTGCGGCGGTAGAAGTTCACCAGGTGATCATCACTACGCAGCCATGACATGCCCAAAATCATGTCGAACTTGGTGTCGAAAATGTCGAAGGACACGCCTCGCTTGCATGCGGGGCAAAGTACACGGGGACGACATCAATGCACCGGTCGATTGACTTGTGCGTGTGATCGTCGGCCAATGTGACTTGCGTGGGCTGCGACTTCCTCTGAACGTGTGGCCCAAGGCCAACACGTACCATAAAGTCTTGGCTCCGCAATCGATCAAAGCGCTGCAGGTCGCCTCTCCGATCTCAATGTGTATGTACAACAATGGCGCATCGATGTCGTCATACTGTTGTGTCTTGAACTCGTGGTCGATCTTTGCAACATAGTCGTGAAGGTCGACAACCTCTACTCCGACGTCCATCAACGGAGCTGGTACTGCAGCGTGCAAGTAATCCCGCAATTGTGCCATGAGCACGTTGCAATGTGGTTTCGACAATCGACCGATCATCCATTGGAAGTCCATTGGAAGTCACTAAAAGTCCGCGAACGGTCATCCATTCGAAGTCTGCGAACGTCAACGAGTCGAGGTCTTGAAGTCTTGATCATGACGTCGAATCGCTGGTGATAGTTGGCGGCGAAGATGCCAAGTCGGTTGTCGATGGTGGTGAAACCGTGCATGCGGTAAATTGTTGCACGTGGAGTGGTTGGTCCAACGGTTGGACCAAGTGGACAGCGTAATCCTCGTAAGTGAACCCAGGACTCGCGACATTGGCATCCTCCCCAGATGTGTAGGAGGCCGCTAGCAAGGCAGCCAAATCTGGCGGATTGAGAGGTGGAGTCCCCTCACCTCCCGCGCAACTCAGTTTCCCGAGTCGATGCGAGGCCAAACATCCTCCTTGCCTTGATCCGAGCATTGGGAGGTCTTGTGCTTGGTGCTGTTGCACCAATAACAGTAGCCATACCGGCCACGCCACTTGTATTCGGCCTCGGTCAAGTGAAACTTGACGCATGGTGTTGGCTGTCCGTTTCCGGCCGGCGATGTGGTTTTCGCCTTCCCTTTTCCTCGGGAGTTGTTGTTGCTTCGCAGTTGGACAGCGGCCACCTGATCTCCCTCACGTGATGCTTGGGTGGCTGTCGGGTCTTCCACAATGTTGTCCGGTTGGACTGCAGCGACATGCTGTGGACGCAGACCAAATTTTCCTTTCTCCATACAGGTTGGCTGCCACGCTGACTCCTTTCGACGAAGGTCGTGTATTGCTTGCGATCGCCAAGTGTGAGGCTCAAGGCGGCACATGACCGGTTGTAAAAGCAAGAATAGGTACAATACCTGCTATAACCACAAAAAACCATAAATAGTCGTATTCTTGAAGAGTTCCCATATTATGCTTTATCCCTTGTTTGAACATAATGAAATGAATTCATCTCTAAAGAAAAGAATTCAAATAGAATAAAAAATTGTTTAGTTCTATAATAAAAAGAATAACGATAAATGATTGTACTGAATGTAAAAAGAAGAATCAATAACATCATAAATAATGAAATTCATATACATATACATTTTAAAGTAGATGTGAAAATGGCAACTCGAGATCGGGCGTTGCCACGATCTTTTGCCATTTCGTCAGCCAGTCGCATGTCGGTGCGTTGCCTTAAGTCATGGCGAAGAGGCGGTTGATGGCGAGCGTCAGGGCGTCGTCCACGATGAACCCCTTCTTCCATAGCCTCGTCAACTCTTCCCAAGAGATCTTCTCATGTAGATCGGCGACCTGGACACCGTGGATGGTTGCCAGGTGGCTGAGCCAGATCTGGCATCCGCCCTTAACAGCGCACCGATTTACGAGTGCTCGGGGACAAACAGAATCCAAAGTTCCACCGTAAAGCCTTCCCACTAGAGGACCGGGTCTTGATGCATATAATCATTAACTTTTCGATGTGGAATGTCGACATCTTGTAGTGTTGCGCAATGGTGTTGCCATCCTTGTTGGGCAGCTGGTGCAGTTGCAAAACCTCGGTCTTCAAGGTGTCCAGCTGCTTGCTGATGGTGGCTGGTGCAGCGAAGGTGCTAATGTCGCCGAGCATTGCGACTACGTGGTAAACTCGTTCCTCCAATTGGCGGGTAGAGGGTGCACTGCTGGACTCGCCAGCATCTGGTCCTGGTGCAACTTGCTCCAAGTCCTGTACACGGGAATCAAGTGCCCATGTAGCATCCTCGTGCAGATCCTTGTGGTTCCGCACTGCCCGTCGGAGATTTGCCAGCTCGAACTGCAGGTGGTTACAAGTGCAAACCAACCGGGTCACGAGTTTGGCGAGAAACTCCTTGTGCTGCTCTTCCGGTGTCGCATCTTCGTGGTTCTCGGATGGTTCAAAATGCCAGAACTTGAGCTTTTCGATGTTGGCGGCTTCGTGCCGCTGTAGCAGATCCTGGGCCTCCTTGCGGCGGACCTGGGCATCTGCGTCAGCTTTGGCCTGAAGTCGCTGCTTTTCAGCTGCTGCCGCCGCTTCAGCCTGTAGGCGGGCAGCCTCGGCTGCCGCCTGACACTGTTCCTCAGCCTCAATCAGTGCGAGCTGAGCTGGGAACCGCTGTCGGTACTCGACAATGGACTCATTGGCCAGTTGGCCTGGCATGCCAAGAACTGAGACCGTCATGGGTTCGGTGCACTGCGGTCGTTGGTACTGCTGCTTTCGTGGCACTGCTGACATGGCATTGTTGCTGACGTGACACGGCTGATGTGGCACTGCTGACGTCGCACTGTACCAAACCGGGAATGCAGGCGAAGGGTTGGGTGGGAGGGMAAACGCAGGAAGGTAACCAACCAAACTGTACTTTCCTCCCGGTCCTAATCAACAGACTAAAAAAATAAAATAAAATAAAAGAAGAGACTCATCTCCCCTTTTTTTTTTTTTTTTTTTTTGAAAATCTGTCAATTTGATATCAGTGAGGCATTTACGAAGGAGTGCTATGAGTAAGATCTAGGCAAGGCTTCGCCAAAATTTCAGCTTTTCAAAAAAAATTACAATTTTGAAAAAAAAATTGTGCGAAATAGAATAGAGATTCGATTTTCAGAAAAGACTAGATCCAGTTTCCGAGAATATGACAACTTCTATCGTTATTCCAATAGGCTTAGAAAACGAAATGCTAACATCAGAAATTTTCGGCTTATTTAGTACGAATCTAGGCTACCAGAGTGGCCCGGGGTCACTTGCACGGCCGGGCCAAAAAAACAAACATAAAATAAAATAAAATAAATATTTTATTATTTTTACAATTTTTTTTTACATTTTTTTTTTTTTTTTTAATTTGGTGAAGAATTTTGATCTGACCCTGAGGCAAAAGTTGTTCAGTTTATTTTTCTGCATAACATAATTTGTTTTTGGATTTTTTGGAAACGTTTTTTTTTTTTTTTTTTTTTTTGCTGGGACCTTCCTTGGTCCTTGCACGGGCTGGCCACCCGGGACCCGGACCGCCCGGCTGGTAGCCTTGGTACGAATGCTAATATCAGAAATTTTCAGATAAAACGAAGTCCTACTATCAGCAATTTTCAGATATTTGAAATGCTAATATAAGAAATTGTCAGATAAAACGAAATGCTTCTATCAGAAATTGTCAGATAAAACGAAATGCTACTATCAGAAATTTTCAGATATTTGCTGCGAGAAAGCTTTTTTTTTTTGCAGAGATTTGACGAAGTCCTGCATGACTTACTAATAATCAATCAATCAATCAATCAATCAATCAATAATTAGTAGATCAAGCAAGCTGGCTACTTGATTGGGCGGATCCTCTGATTGAGAGGTCCGCTCCGATACCAAACTGTCGCATACCGTAACTGTGCAGGCCAGAACAAGAACCGACCTCTCTCACATGGTACAAGATAGCACAGCGGAAGGCTTAAATACCAATGATCCGAACAACCAATGTTTCAATGCAGCCCAAACATACATCATCATCATTCCATGGTGTGAAGGGGCCTCGCGCTCACACAGGAAGAATGCGCCAGTCCCCAACCATACACAGACGAAGAAGAGGGGGGTTAGACGAAGAAGAGGGGAAGATGGGAATGTCGTCAACCAAGTCTTCGGCACAGGTCCCAAATAATCCCTTGTCAAATGTCTGAATCCCAATGTCGAGTCTGGATCCAAATGTCGTCAAGTCCCAAAGTCACCAATCTCTCTCTCTCTCTCGTAGTCTGCAGGTACTGAGAAGTTAGGAAGCGAGAGAGTGAGGGAGAGATGGTGGACTTAGAAGAGGAAGAAGAAGAACTCGCTCTCTCTCTCTCAGTCCGGTACTAACCTCTGAAGGTGGCGCCTTGTTGCAGGTACATCGAAGACGAAGCTGGAGCTATGGCGCCACAGGTAAGTCTCTCTGGCCTCCGCCAACCATCTCTCTCCCCAATGCTACTCTAGCTCCTAATAGCGGCCAGCGCTGAAGACTACTGCTAACGCTACTACTACTACTGCAGCGCTCCTGCAGAGTGCTGCTGCCGAATCCTGAAGACTGCCTCCTGCCTCCTGCACGTGAAGTGCCTGGGAAGTTCCTATGAACTACCTCGTGACCGTCTGTAGCCTGTAGGGCGGGCCAGTCTTATATACTGCTGGCCTGTCCAGGAGGCTGCTCTTCCCAATGCAAAAACATGCCAGACCCTGGTGTTGAAGTTCAAACAAGGGTTGTCTTGAAAACAGGCCAAAAATGGCCTGTGCTAAAACCCTGGTCTGGTGCCTAATGCAAGGAACATGAGTATGGCCGAAGCACAGAAATCCAGAATGCAATATCACACTGAAGTCCAAGTATTCAAAGCCAAAGCAGATAGTACAATGGAACCGAGTAACCATCCAATTGAGAATGATACAGAAGAATCGTGAGTCAATGTTCATGCCCAACAGGGCAACACCAACAGCATAACCCAAATGTAGCTCTCTTGTGAATGGCGCCAGGCGCCCTATCTACTCTACAGCCTATCCTACAACTACAGCAATGAACGCAACCAGACAACTTGACTACCAGTGCATGATGATGTCAACACCAATGCCGTATTCCACCATCACCAGGTACGTGTCCTCTTCCCCACACTCTCCCTTGTTACCCACACAGCGCCCTTCACCTCCGAAGTACCACCTTCGCCCTCACCGCCCCTGCACCTTCATGCGGCCCAGTCTATGGCCACCAGTGCCCTCAGTGCAGGCAGCGCCCTACCGCCTAGCGCTGGCCTGCTTGCTCTTAGAGCAGCACTGCTTTGCACAGCGCAGCACACATGCATCCGCGCAGCGTGCCCGCAAGTGCCAGCATTGGCCAAGATCCTTGCTGCCTCGCCCTGCTTGCCTATATGCCAATGCAGCATGTGGGTGGCCTCCCTTCAGCCTGTACCGGGGCCCAGAGGCTGAACTCAGCCCGATACAGTTGGGCCCCGGGAGATGCAGTTGTGCCTCTCTCATCCAGGCCTGCGGCCAGATTCAGACAGTGGGCCGATTTCCCTTTGCATTTTTGGCCTCTTTACCCAGAGTGCATTGTCGGCCTCACGTTCAGGAGCCCAGGGCCTAACTAACTCAGAGGCACTGGGCATTTCAGCATTTGCTGAGATCCGCAACTCGGTGCACTCCATCCAACTGGCGTGCTGCAACTGTAAGGACCCCACTTCGTGAAATGTATGCACAGAGGGCTATTGTTGATTTGCTGGCCCGCCTTCACTTAGGGCGGGCACGAGGCTTGCTGGGGCCTTAGCCCAGAACATGTACACCATGGCAAGGCCCCTTCTTGAGGGCTCATTCCTCACATTCCATCCCCCTTAGCTTCGAAAGTCCGCTGAGATGCTTACTTCGCAGGTGCCTTCCCTTTTAGCTTCCGTTGATAGTCTGCCACCACCTGAGGAGCTGTTTCCATCAGTTCCTCCCGGGTAAACCACCGATCTTCTTTTGGATTCGTATGATGCCTGGATCTGATCCGGTACTCTCTCTTGGGTTTAGGAGGTCTTCCTCGACCCGGCGGCTTCTGAACAGGCATATCCCTGTGTTCCACAATGTCGTCGATGTTGACTTGTCCATCCATGGTTGGGGGCAGTATCGATCTCCTGGAAGGGAATTGATCAGTCTCAGCGAAAGGTGCAAGCTTTGAGGCATGAACGACTGGGTGAGTGCGTAGGTGTCCAGGGACACGAATGACATATGTGGGACCATCCAACTCATCTCCCACTACATTTTAGACTTCTCAGGGACCAAAGTACTGAGGCATCAGTTTGCGAGATATTCCGAACTTCTGTCCTAACTCACTAGCCTTGACCCAGACACGTTCCCCTACCTGAAATGTGGACTGTCTGCGATGTTGATTCTCAGAAGCAATCATGGCTTGCTGAGCCTTCTTCATATGTTCAACAGCCTCTTGCAGCAACTTCTCATATTGCACACCGTATTCAAGTGTGCCTGGAGTTGCAGCAGGTCGGTTTTCAAGCAGGAGGAAGTCTAGTGTTGATCTAGGCTTCCATCCTAAGTGCAGCTGGTTAGGACTAACGCCGGTACTACTATGTATAGCATTGTTGTACAGGCTGGCGATGAGAGGTAACTGCTCATCCCAATCATCCTGGCTGGGCTTGATGTAATGCCTCAGCAAGTGTTGTACAACTCTATTCATTTGTTCGGCCTGTCCGTTGGCTTCGGGATGATTCCCTGAAGTCATCTGAAGTTGACTGCCCATGTGTTCCGCAGTCTTCTTCCACAACTCACTTGTGAATCGGACGTCTCGGTGACTAATGATGGTCTTTGGTAAACCAAAGTCCCTTACCCAGTTGTCCTTGAACAACTTGATGACGTATTCTGTCCTGGCTGTCTCTGGCATTGGTATTAGTCTAGCGTACTTGGTGAATCGGTCAATGATGACAAAAATGTGCCTCTTACCACTCTTGCTGGTCACAAGAGTGTCCATGAAATCCATGGAAACACTCAATCCTGGACCATCAGGAATAGGCAAAGGCTTCAATAACCCAAGCGGTGCTTGAGTTTTCAGGCTTTCAGGCTGAAAACGACACAGGGCCTGTAGGCCCTTGTTTTCAGGCTTTTAAGCTGAAAACGACACAGGGTCTGTAGGCCCTTGTTTTCAGGCTTTTAGCCTGAGAACGCTGGTCGGGCCTGTGTGGCCGCGCAGTATGCCACATTGGCGCCCACTACCAGCATCTGGCGCCGGCATACTGCTCCCACAGGCTTGCGTTATGAACCAGCATCGAGCCAATGCAAGGTAGAATGTCCTCCAAGTGCAAGGAATATAAGTGGGAATGATATACAGAAACCAAGCAGGGGAGTACAGGCTGCCCAGGCAGTAAGCGAGCATCTGAGTTGAAGGAGGAAAAGGCGGCGAGGGTCAAAAAGGAAGCCAAGGGGGAGGCAAGAAGGACGGCCAAAAGAAGAAGGCTTCTGATCACCAGTTTGTGAACATATTAAGTTAAGACGAGCCAGCACCGTTGGATGGATAACCCACACGGCATGGAGGGAACTAGGCAGTCTGCAAAAAAGAAAAGGGAACTGCGCTCCATTGGAGCCCACATTGGCAAGGAGGACAGGGATCCCGGGGGAACTGGTTCGAAGGGATGAGCTGGCGGTCCGGTGTGCCCAAAACACTCGCACTTCATGAGGGTTTTGGGGTCTGGGTTTAGGGTTCAGGGCTGAATGTCCCCTCGGTAAGGGGGAAGGAGGAGGAAAAGGTGATGACGAGTCCGATGGGTAGAGTCGAAGTACGATTCTTTAGGATTAGCTTGGGTAAGGGGCAAGATCGTTCTCGCGACTAAGGGCATATCGGGCAGAGTTGTTGAACGGACCTGAGAGGATAGAGGGAAGCAGGGCAAGCTAGCAGTCAATCCCCCAGAAGTCTGGAGTAATCAATGTTGACCAGGGTCCATCGGCCAGAGGGGGGGAAACATGGGCCTGTCATGTTGGTGATATTTATTCTGGGTCGATAATGGCTACGGGTGAGGAGTTAAGGTTCAGCGCGTCAGCGATGTCTAAATAGGGTGACAGACAAAATGGGCAAGGGGTATAGGGACTTCCGAGCAGGTCGGAGGAGTGGGAGCATACAGGCAAGCCGGGACAATGGGCGAGCTCCTTCTAGGTTGGAAAGAACTATTCGGCAGATCTGGCCTCCAGGCCTGAGAGGAAAGAGTGAGACATGGCAAGCTGACAGTTAATCCTCCACCAAAATGGAGCAATTAATGCTGGTCACGGGCCCTTCGGCCCAATGGAAGGAAGCGTGAGTGATCCTAAATGTAAATTCCGACTTGCCGGTGGAATAGGAACCAAACTGACGCTCCCCAAAATAGAAGGAGCAGGAATACGTGCAAAAAAAAGGAAAAAAAAAAAGAAAAAAGAAACCAAGTTGTGAAATCACACAGATGTCCACGTAGTTGTGTACAAGCAGAGAGCACCAATGCACCGAGATCCCATCCAATAAGATCAATACAATGAAGTAATGAGCCAATGTTCAAGCCCTCAGGCCACACCAACACAGTATTGCAATGACTTGCTGATTTCTACTGTCGAGATTGACTGCGAGGCTGTGTACATTAACCGGTAGGGTTAGATTTGTATTTTGTTTGGCTGAGGGCTAACCGAGAAACCTGCCTGTACGGAAATTCGTGAGGGACATATCTGCAAATCTGGGAAAATATCAACCCAGTACTAACCCGAATTCCTACCGCTACCCTAACTGCGCATAGCAGGCCCGGGCTACCCCTAGGACAGACAGGCCCTAAGTGGCCTATGCTGATAGACGGTCCCATAGCCTATAGCCGGGTCCGGTAGAGGCCGAGAGGCCGAAACAGCAACGGTACCGGTCGATCAGTCAGTCCGGTCTAGGTCTAGTGTAGTCTATAGATAGGTTAGGCCCATCGGTTCAAGACTTTTGGGGCAGTTCATTTCTCGCGAAGGAGCGT